GGGGTGTTCAGCCACTCCACCCCACCCCACCCCTACCCCCATGACCGTGGGTGCGATCATCATAATAACAACAGAGAACAGAGGAGAATTGAACCCTGCAGCAGCCAAAAGCTAAGGACTGTGATTGCTGGAAAAGAACTGCAACTGGCCTAGTGACGCCACCTTCCCCTGAAGGGTATAAATAGGTTGGCTCCAGAGGCTGTCTTTAGCTCTTGGTGGGTGACAGTGGGTCTGCCAACTTGTGGAATCCATGGGGGTGCCCTCCTGAGTTACCTCTCTAGGATTGAGGGTATGTTGGCCACTGAGATAATGATGGGTAAGATGAATGAGGATTGGTTTGCCTGGTTCATTTGATTGGGTAATTACAATTAATATAAGTTAGCTAGCTTTGTCTGTTTACTAAGTAGTTACTGTTAGCATAACTTTTAGTGTAACTAGAAAATAGATATCCTAGTTGAGCTAAGTTCCTGTTAATAAGAATTGTTGCTTTGTACTGTTGTAGCTTGTGTAGTAAATTTTGATCTTTGAAACAAGTTGTGGAGTCATGCAATAAATCTCCTTCTCCCCCTCCTCCCCACCTTCATGCCATGTGAAACCCATGTGGTCTGGGACTATAAGGTAGCTGTTCATTCTGTGACAGCAGGGGGTTGGACTAGATGACCTCCAGAGATCTATTGTAACCTAAATTACTCTGTAATTCTATGATTCCTGGGAATACAGTAAAAAGTTTTGTGTTATGGTATATCCCACTTAGAAAAAGTGCTTTGAAAGAAAACCAGAAATCATGCAGCAAACATATGAAAAGCAGTTGGTAATTCAATATACAACAACCATTGAAAATACTTTTCCAAATCCCTGAATATCTATATCCTATATATATCTATATTCCTACAAGTATAGAAAAAGAATGAACACATGGGGGGGTGTGTGCATGTGTACTTGTTGGAGGTATGGGACAACACACACAAAAAATTATTCTATGCCATCTCAGTTAATACAGAAAAACCTTCTGGAACTGCAGGTAAGTTCTCCCAACTTTATGTAAGGAACCCTTTCCATCTCTAGGCTTGCAGAGATTTCTAAAACTATCACAAAAAGATAATCCATGTTACTAGACCTTAAAATAAGGAACTGAAGCTCACCTTTTAATTTCAGGAACAGTATAGCTGACTGGAGGAGAAGAATTCATGATGTCAGATATGCAATTTCTTATATCTATAGTCTTTGAACAATAAATATTATCTTCACTTATGAATTCTCTTACAGCAATAGAAAAGCTTCAAAGGTTACTCT